CAGATCAGTACTATCAACTCACCGCGGTCCTCAATCTTCTGCTAAGTTGACAGTCTTTTTTATGATAGAAACTAACTGGCATTTAATTACCTACCTCTGGGAGAATTAAAAATGTACGACTAACGTAACCAAGTTATAACAGCAGATACACTTCCTCATGAACAGACAGCTATGACTGCAAAAAGCAACACTACGGAAGGAAGATACAGCAAATGCGCTAACAAAACAAAATGTGCGGGTGAAATCAATGCTTATGCTTTTAGGTTCAATACTGACAATATCTGTTAATAGTATACAACAGTGCTGCATATTTATGCATCCTGTCACTCCATCATCTATCTTATTTGCTGCTCCACTCCGATGCCCAACCCAAGCTACGCCTTTTATTCAAAAGGCAGAACACAGTCGTGCTGCAAAGATCAAAACTTATTTCAAGGGATGACACTGACCACCTAATGAAACCATCTTGCAAAATCTCGCACAGAGTCGACTGATTCTCTTAACTGCTATTTCCTTCTGTAAGCATACACACCCGTTAGAAAACCAAGAACTGTTCTTATCATGCATTTGCATTATTTATGCAAGACAGGGAACACTACTGAGGAACAGGATAAATTAAGGAAGCATAATTTCAGAAAAGCTTCGTGATAATATACAGCAGTCTATCAGATTCCCAAGAAAAAAGCAGTCATCTTTAGACCTGTAAAATGACACTGGCCAAAAAAAGCAGGAAATAAGTCTACAGCAGGTTATTAGAGTAATAATGTATGGTGTTTCTGCTAAAAAAAAAAAAATAATTTCAATTAGCTAGTCACAGCAACAAGCAATTTAAATAGTGTACTTCAAAAAATTATAAAATTCAGTCTTGACGTTACACACTCACTTATATTAGCTTCCTTAGAAGCTGAAGCTGGCTTACCAATAGATTTTTTACAGTACTTAGCAAATATCTCTTGATCTCCTTCAGAACATCAGTTAAGTTACCGTCTGTGGCAAGATGGATACTTGCCTTTTGAAATCTGCCGCCAAATATTACGGGTGCCAGAGTTCACCTTTCTACAACTCACCCCATCTAAACTACAGTTTCGGAATTTACTAGCTAACACTTTAATAACTTAAACATAGCTCCTTCTGTACCCCAAGCCTCATTCATTGAAAAGAAATTCCCTAAACACGATGGTCAGGAGTGGTGGGGGGATGTACACAGAAACATAGACATATCTTCCAAACTCTACTAGTTTCGTATGGCAGATGTTTCAGAAGAATATGATCAATGATCCAATAGAATAAATATATCAGAGGTATTCTAAGCCAGGCCTAAAGGATGGAACTTCACTATAAATTCGATTAGTGTCTTCCTAATTAAGGATAGGACCTTCAAACAGCGGACAGTTACTGGTTCTCTCCTGCTTGAGTTAATGCAAATTCTAGTAGTAGTAAATAATCCAGATTTTTCTGCAACATACACTAAAATTACTTGCTAAAACCATCAACGCTTTAGTGCTCTGAAATGAGAAACTTCCTAAGGGAACGGATAGTTTGTTTAAAAATACGCAATATTCAGAGACTTAAGTCAGAATGCTGTATGCTTTTTCTTCTATATCTTTCCCACTACTTCTGCTTACTCAAAGCATAAAGAAGGGTGTTTTCCTCATTGCTTCCTCCTGACACTCCGCACCATTATGACAACAGAATATCAGAAAGAAAGAGGACAAACTGCCTTAAAATGAGTTTGCTCTATGTTGCATTTGGCACAAAAGACACGAAAAAGAACGAAAAAGTATTAAATGTAAATTAAAACTTTTTCAACTTGGCCTTGCAATCCAGAGCAAGTATGTCAGTGGCATAAGCTGGCTAAAGGGCAGAGAAATGTCACAAGGAGAATTTTGAGGGAACTATGCATCTTTCAACATTTCTTTTAGTCAGATACAGGATGGTGTATAAGTCCCCGATTAACACATTAATCATACTTCAATACACTATAGAAATATCACAGAACAACAAACATCACATCCGTTCAAGCTGCTCCAGATAAGCCTTCCTTCTCTTAACAGCAGAAAGTGACACTGAAATCTATAAGGAAGTTATTCTGTCATTGTGTTTATTTTAATGTTATGTAATAACCTCGCCTTACATTCCGCAAAAGCAAGCTGGTAGCGGAGGCGCCAGAGGAGATACAGCCCCACAGCAGCATCCCAGGCCACTACAGACTGCTCATACGACTGCCAGCTTTCTTCGCGTTTGTACCTCAACTATAAAATTACTATTAACTTCATTAATATGCATTAAGTATTTCAGAGTTTCTTAACGTACAGGAATCTGTTTATTTCAAGTAATTCCATCAAAAGACGGATAAACTTTTTCTTCATTCAAATGCTTCAGAGGTGGAATGACATGGAGGAGAAACCTTTCAAGAAGATTTCAGAAGGCGATGAGGCAGATCGCTATCTACACATTTAGGTGCTAATGGCTTTAAACGGGGAGGAATTGTGACACCATCTTGTTATAGCCCCACTTTTTCTGACTTTTGAATTCAAGGAGAAGAACGACAGGAAGTTCAGGAAGATTTGCAAAGAGATTTCACCCACCTTTTCCTACATTCAGGCTTTCTATCGCCAGTTTTTACCTTATTACTCTTAGTCACGTTTCTCTATACAATACTCAACGCTCTTCTTCATGCGCCCATGCGTTTTACACGGTTCACATGCACATCCACTGCTTTTCCTCACCTGTTTTCTACTCCCACGATTAACAACAACAAAAAAGCCTCAAATCGCTACTTTTTAAGGGAGGAAAAAAATACAGAAAGCAGTTTATACGGCTAAAATATTTGTACCGTGAAGAGGAGCAATAAAGTAAGCATTAGGTTGTCAACTCCGGGCAAAAGTTCCAGAGAAGAAAGTGTTCACGAGCTCATGAGTGTCGACAAACCTAAATCTCACGATGCCAACCGGGGTGCCAGGAAAATGCACCCCCGGAGCCCCGGTCCGGCGGGGAGGCTGCAGCCCGATCTTCGCTTCCCAAGGGGAGCCGGGAGTTGCCAGTCATTCCGAGCGCTGGAAGGAGGGGCTGGCGGCAACAAATCGCTTTTTGCTTCCACCAGCACAGGCGCTTTTTATCACGCGAGAGCGCCCGGGACTCGGGGGAGGTGGGCTCGCCGCAGGGCGGGCAGCGGCTCGGCGGCAGGCGGAGGGGCAGCCCCGAGGCACCCGCGGGC